GGAAACCGACCCCCCCGCCAACATCTGGGAAACCGCCCCCCCCGCCAACATCAGAGGCACCCCCTGCCAACATCTGGAGGACCAACCCCCCCAACATCAGAGGCACCACCACCCCTGCCAACATCTGGGGGACCAACCCCACCCCCTGCCAACATCTGGGGGACCAATCCCTGACATCTAGGGGGCCAAACCCCCCACTGACATCTGGGGGGCCAACCCCCGACAATTGGGGGGCCAAGTATCCCCCCACCATCTGGGGGACCCCCCGGCCAACATCTGGGAGACCGATTCCCCCACCAACATCAAAGGCACCCCTGCCAACATCTGGAGGTCCAACCCCACAATATCAGAGGCACCACCACCACCATCTGGAGCACCCATGCCAACATCTGGAGGACCAACCCCCGACATCTGGGGGCCAACTCCCCCTCACCAACATCAGAGGCACCAACCTCTTTGCCCCCCCGCCGCCGCCGCCAACATGTGGGGCCCGCCCAGCGCCGGGGCCGGTCCAGTCCCGGCCTCAGGCCGCCCTCACCTGGCGCCGCTCCGGCCCCGGCGCCCACTCCACACACCTCCGACCGCTGCGGCGCACACCTCCGCTCCGCCCCGATTGGCTGAGGAGGCTCAGGGCCGGCCGTTCCATTGGCGGCCCCGCACGTCACTCACCGCTGTTCCCACCCCCTCGCGCCGCTTCCGGAGCGCGCAGGACAACAGGTTCCGGGCGTGCGGCGCATGCGCAGTGGGCTGATGGGGGCGGCAGTGCATTTGACAGTCCGCTCCGCGCTCCACCCTTAGCTTGTGATGCCCGGCGGGGGGGCAGGGCGACCCCTGACCGCCACTGACTCCCCGTGTGACCTTGGGCACGTCCCTGAGCACCCCTCTGCCACTGACTCTCTGCATGCCCTTGGGCATATCCCTTAGCATCTCTGCAGTCAGGCTGCGGACCACGGCTCTTCCCCCCCAGGGCAGAGCGATGGCTCAGAGACATGCAGCCCAGCCTGCCAGGGGTCATCAGGGACCCCCCTGGGCCCTGGGGTCATGGAGGGCACCGCCAGGATGTTCCCCTGGCCTCTGAGCGCCAGCACCAGCTTGCTGCCACCCGGGCCTCTCTACGGCACGTTCTCTCTCGTGGCAGCAGAGGGCAGCAGCGGCTTTGGTTTGACCAGAATCAATTGATTTCTTAGGGTTGTGTCTTTAATTGGACCCATAGTTGGTCCTCCAGATGTTCAGGGGGACATTCATCATCCAGATGTGGGCGGGGGGGGGAATAGTTGGTCATCCAGATGTTAGCCAGGGCAGGGGGAAGTTGGTCATCCAGGTGTTAGTGAGGGCAGGGGGGCTGGTCGTCCAGATGTTGGGGTGGGGGGAAGAGTTGGTAATTGAGATGTGGGTGTAGGGGGACTTGGCTCTGCAGATGTTGGCAGGGCAGGGGGGCAGTTGCTTCTCCAGATGTTGGTGGGGGGAGGAAGTGGAATTTAGTTCAATAGTCGATGATATCTTTTATTGCATCCAATAAAATAGATCACCCTAAGAAATTCTTGAGAATAAACCAGCAAGAAGAGACTGGACCTGCTACACAGAGGAATAAGAGAATAGGGCCAACAAACCTGGCTTCTCCGGACTACAGCCGTTTGCAGCCTGTTTAATTAGCTGCCCCTTTCTAAAAAAATATTTGGAAAAGTCGGCACAGGCAGCAATGGTGTTTGTAAATGTTAATTATTTCAGTTGCAACAGATGAAAAATAAAATGGGGATTAATTTCGCATAAAAATGTTTTTTCCCATCCAGTCACAGTATAATGAATGCTGATATCCTCCAGACTGAATGCAGAGGCAAGAGTAGCGGTGATCAGAATACAGTGCCGGCAGCTTGAACTGTGATCCATTTCTCCTCGGAGCCTGGGGATACTTTTTAAAGCTTGGCTTTGTGACTGCAGGTGCTCAGATCATGCCACGATGGGCACTGCAAGAGCCCGGGAACCATGAAAACAAAGACAGCGCAGCCTTTGAGCTTTGGAGAAGTTTCCAAAGAAGTGTGTGTTGTCACTATGAGTGGTGCCCTTGTTTTCTGTCGTCATTCAGTGCTTCAAGTGCTGCTGCCACTATATACAGTAGTAATGGCAATCACGTTGTCTGCTTCATCTGCGGTTCCTGTCCAGCCACCACTCATTTCCCAGCAACGTATTGCCAGTAAAGACTTGTCCTGGCAGCACTGTTTGAATGTTTGAATTATGTGCCCTTTTTTCAAATCTGGGCTCGAAGGTTCCCTTTCTTTGGTAAGACACCAAGCACCAAATGACAGTTATTTTGTACCAAAGACAGCTGGTGATTAATTGTGTCCAGTTTCAAAGGAGCAAAGTCTGAGGTTCCCACTCTGGTGCCTATCTCGATGACATTTTTTCACCTTCTCTTGCCTGGTGCTGATACCTCTACTGGCAATACTGGAGAGAGGACCGGCCGTGCTGGATGTTTTAACATCCAGCAATGTGAGTTAATCCAGTCTTCCTCATACAAAGCCACTGCCCAAGTGACAATGTAACGTCACTGATGGTATCGTTGCCAGACAGGAGGTTCAGACTCCAGGCAGTCGGGTACAGAAAGTTATTCTCTGCACACGAGAATTTTTTGGGCAGCCACAGTGGGCAACCTGATGCAGGAAAAAAGCATGTGACAGGATAAGGGTGGTTTGACGGTGTTTTTTCAAGCATTTCCCCCCCTTGCTGCTCACTGTGCCCTGCACTCAGCTTTGAGGTGTAGGCATCATGTAGGACATTATTTTTAAGCAAGAGTTTTCACATGTGAATTCCAATAAAACCAGAAGTCATGGAGCATAAATGGCCCAGAGTCACCACTGCATGCCTATGTATCAGGACCACTAAAACAAGTTTAATACCAGCGTAGAAAGAATCCAGCAGATTAAAACAGTTTGCGTTATTATGAGTTAGGAGAAATGTGGGGTTACAATGCAAAGAAGCACAGTCCTGGGGATAACACACCAGCCTGGTGCCAAGAGATAGGGGATCCATGCTCAGCTCTGCCACAGGTCTTCAACAAAGGTCCTGGACTACAGACAAGGCATTGTCCACTGCCTCCTGAAGTTGGCTCATCAGCCCTTGTATTTAATACTCATTGGGTAATCGCAGAATCCAGGGCATGCTACTATTCAGTACGGCATCTATCTCACTTGAGTCCGATCATCTGGTTTGTTTCCCTGTTCCTGCCCTATGTACCTTCTGCTCCTGGCTCCCAGTGGACCAGTTTCAAGAGGGGGGTTGGAGAAGGCTCCAGGCTATGCCTTGCCCATCGCCTGGGCGTGAGAGCACTTTGCTAGAAAGCAGGAGCTGAAGATGCCAACCCTATTGCATGCAGAGGGTCTGGCTCCCGGATATCACGTTCCTTAGGCAAGGGCCCTGACTATAATGCCACTGAGCCAAAAGGTGGGAGGATCTGCCTTCCCCCAGGGTTTTCCACCACTCAATTTTCAGTACTTGCACAGCAGTACACATATGCCCACGCAGTGTAGCCTGCTGAGCACACGCAGAAGGGAAATGCAGGGAGAGCAGAGGCATGTGCAATCCAAAGTGTGCACATGCACCAAAAGTGGCAGATGCAGTTACCTAACTGCCACTTTGGCATGTGAAGGTGGAAAAGGATTTCACCTTTACTCTTTCCAGATTAGCTCCAGGGCCATCAGGATCAGCAGAAAGGTTCCTGAGGTCTTTTGCCTCATTTGTAAAATGCAGATAATAATGCTTCTCTTCTCTCATGGTCTCTTATCGGTAACCATCTCTTGTCTCTCACCATCTCAAAAGCTGTTCGGGGCAGGGACTGCTGCTTGTTATGTGCACGTAGTGCCAGCCATCCAGACAGTCACTAGGGTTTACCTCATCTCTCTGAGGGCCCCTGAGTGCAACTTCAGTGCAAATAAATAATAACTTTCACACAGAGAAAAGTCGGCCCATTGCAAAATACTTCACGGTCAAAAACCATGCTGTCTCACCTAAGAGCACAGAGATAGGAAGACTGTTTCTAAATCTTAAGTTGAAAGAAAGGGAAATAAATACATCTCGCCCAGTGACCTGCCAAGGGATACCAACAGCACCATGCAAGCATGGGGGACTTTCTGGTTTTGCACCACTGCAACACAAGTTGGGTTTGATTTTACATGGCCTTGTATTGAGAGTCTCCTACAGCCTCTTGGCAGAGCTGTCAAATGCTCTGACTGCACAAAGCATATGCTTTCTGCAGGGTTTCCAAAGAAGAAGCTAACCCTTATCTAGAGGCACCAGGGATAAATGTTGTCTTGGGAGCCAAGAGAAGTCTTCACTTCTCCCATGCATTCAAGCTCCCGTTCTGGGTTTGTACATTCCCCACTGGAAGCTCGGTCTTATTAACCATTGCATTAATGTAGCACCCATGAGCCTTGGGGTGGACAAATGACGGCCAGTGGGGACTCACTACTGCTCAGCTGCTTTGTGGTACCTGCCCATTTGCACAGACTTAGCCCTGCATAATTAAAGGCGAAAAGCTACCCCAAGTTAGCCTTTAGTAACAGCAGGTTAAGAGCATGCACGTGGACCATGGCAGTGGAGCAGCTGAGGCACAGTAAGTCCTTGCCTCCTCTCAGCTCACAGCATCTGTCTATGCAGACCCTTTCTCTGCCAGGGTCCCTTAATGCAAGATGCTAGATCGATGCAGAAGGAAAGGGGTGGGCTTCTCCTAAGCCAGGGGTGGGCAAAATATGGTCCACAGGCTGGATCCAGCCTGTCAAGTGATTGTACCCGGGCTGTGGCTGCCCCTGTAGCACTCCGCATGGGGCCGAGCCTCACCTGGGGCAGCCCATGCCATGCTCCATCCTGCACCCACCCAGCACAGCCTTGGACCCAGCCAAGAGGGGGTTGCCCAGGGCAGAAGCAGGCTTGGCCCCATGCAGAGACCCACGGGGGCAACCACGGGCTGGACAGGGTGGGGGGCAGACTCCATCTGCACCACGCTGCCCAGGTGAGCTCTGCTGCACGCCACAACACCTCCCACAATCAATGTACAGGAGCAAGACTTTTATTTCAAGCTGCTAGGCAATCGCTTCTATACACACTACTCAAAAAACTAAAAATCAGGACTAAAATATGTTTTAAAATAAACTTCAAATATGTTATAGGAGATGTTTGGTTTTTAATATACGCTTTGTTGTTTATCTAGAATTTGTTCAAATGGTATCTTCTGAAAGGTTTTCTGTGTGCGGCCCTCGACAGTTCACCCAAACTCATTAAGTGGCCCTCCAGGCAAAATAATTGCCCACCCCAGCCTGAAGCCCAGGTTCTCAGTTTCTCTCTTTTAGTAAAATATACTCAGTGATTCTTTAGCACGGCTACCAGGCAAATTTGCATCATTGCTGTTGTCTTCTACTTGAGCAGAATTAGGCTCTCGCTGTTAATGCCACACATACCATTTGGGTGATTGTTAAGGTAATGGCTATGGGCTCCATCAAGAAAGTAGCACCTCCTCCAGCCCTACAGAAACACAGACCCATTTTCTTCCAGCTCTTTGGGAATGTCTGTC